CCTCTTGCCAGAACCCTCAACACTGGACACAGAATTTGGCTTCCTCTTCTTCTCCATCTCCAAATCAATATCCCTCTCTCTAGCCCTCACTATCATATCCTCCAGTGTCTTGTAGTTGGATCGACTAACAAACGGTCGGATATCACTCCTCAACATCTCATGGTATCGGGCCTTCTTCATCTCCTCGTCTGCCACATGCTGTGGAACCAGAAGTTCCCTCTCCCTGAACATAACGGTGATCTCAGCCACCGTCTCAGTAGTCTGACGGAGATCCTGTAACTCTCGTGCCAGCTGTTGCACCTCAATCACCGGTGCAAACTCGGCTCGAAACCTGGTCGAGAAATCACTCCAGGTCATCGAGTCAATAGAGGCATCATATCCGATAGCACGCCCTACCTCCTCCCACCAATCACTCGCCCTGTCCTTCAAGAGGGAGGAAGCTAATATGACCTTGTCCCCCTCGGGACAACATCTGGTACGGAAGGAGTTAGCATCATCTGCCAACCACCTGCTGCTCACAATGGGGTCCCTCGCCCCGTGATAATCTAGCGCTCCACATGCCCGAAACTCCCTAAAAGTCAGAGAGCGCGTCCCGACTAAAGCCACAATCTCAACGCGAAAGGCGCTCAACCGCTCATCAAGAAGCTTCAGAATGCCCTCCTTGACCGAGACAAAGATCACAGGAGTCTTCTCAAGGATACTGCACGTAATCTTAGACAAGATGAACTCCCTCGTCTGGTCATCAAGCTTCCCAGCTCCAGATCCTGAGCCTGAGCCCTCCCCACCATCGGAACTGCCCACTGGCCTTCCTCGCAATACCACCATACTGAAAATAGACCATATGAACCATCAGAATACACATCAATATACACATCGGGGAAATCACAACTTCACAAGCCCCCTGGCTTCATTACATCCCTCCTTGAATCAAGTACAGATCCTCTGCTTCCAATAGTACGGGCCCATACTACCTTCCATATCTATCGATACTTTCCTCAAGAAGTGCCTTAACTCAGCCAAGTTACTTTATATCCAACAATTCCCTCACAAATATGGCTCCCAACACTAAATCTCATCTTAGGTTTTCCTAGGGCAAAGTCCACACCACTCTCCTCTATTAGTTGTGGAAGGAACTCCCGCTAACTTCCTCTAACTAGCTCACGAATACAATTACATATTACAAAAACTAGATAATTCTTCGAATGAGAGGTCTCACACTACAACGGTTGGACTCAAACAAGAGATGTGCAATAGAGTTAAAACCTAACCCTCTAAAATTATTTAGTCCCATAATATGTAACTTAGCATATTCGTTTACTAGTTAGCTGAAGCTAGTTAAAACTCCAAAAAGCACAAAACAAGCAGCATTCGAGCATCAAGTAATCAAAACCAGGCATACCCTAGTCAGGCCATCCTATTATTGACTGATCAGTACTAGCATGCAAATCTATAACCTTATACAACATGCATACAAAGGAATCTCTCCTAGATCCTTAGCCCTAAACTATCATGTGATCACAATTCACAGTTCAAACATATCATAAACATGTATGGGTATTTTGGGATAACCTACTTGAGCTCGGCTGATTGCACGCACCACACCCTTTCTTAATTTAGAAAACCTTTTCATAAATATGTTTATTTATTTATTTTTTTGAAAACTTACGAAATTCTCGGTTTAAGTTCAGACACCCTTGAGAGTGTGCATGAATCCCTCAATATGGTCCCAAAAATATGGTCCCAAAAATTTTGTTTTTCTAATAGATGAAATAGTATTTTCAAATATGATCCATACATCTCAACAAAATCAATGTATCAAATATATCAAAATCAGAGTAATATCAAATGCGGAATCACCATGTTGTGTGCGGTGCAGTCAACCCAAGCCCTTCCCATTGGAACCGGAAGTACCTGAAACACAAACTAAAATCCGTAAGCACAAAGCTTAGTGAGTTCCCCAAGATACCGCATACCAAACATATCACATAACGGGCCCTGCCCAAAAAGATATGGGTCCTATCCACACTCGCATAACGGGCCCCGCCCAATGAGATACGAGCTCCGCCCATACTCGCATAACGCCCCCCCCCCCCCCCCACACTCGCAATATGGGCTCCGCCCAGATAAGCAAACGCATACAAATACATACAAGTATCACACAGACAACAAGTATATCAACATAATCATCAAGGGTCGGCCTTGGTGCCTTAGACCCGCTAAACCCTGTGAGGAAAACTCACCTCAAAAAGCTGAAGGAAATGAATGATCCCTGATTACTGGTCTTACAGCTCCATGAGCTATCAATTACCAAATAAAATATGATTGACATTTGGGATCTACATCATAACCAAAAATCCCTACTTGGGGAAAAATACTATTTTACCCTATCATTACTTCGTCCAAGAATGAAACCCTAAATCACAGTCCAACGGCCCAAAAGTTAAATAATCCATCAAGGCCCAACATATGGCCCAATTTCCAACTTGTCCCAATCCCTTCACATGGGACTTAGCCTAAGGCTCAATAATGCTTCCCTAGCCCAAAGATTCGATTCCAGATAGCCCACTAAGGCCCAAGACACAAAGTCTATGAAAGTTGCCCATCTGAGGCCCAAAAGACGCGAAGCCCAAATCCATTGAGTACGCTAGGCGTACTCAACTCTATGCTAAGCGTATAGGCTTCATGGCTTGTACGTTGTGCGTACTGGCATGTATGCTCACCATACTCACCCATTAAGCCATAAACCTAAAAAGCACTTAAATCCTTAAGACCTAGGGTTCCAGTCACAGATCTGAGTCATATGAAGTGTCTTAAACCATAAAGTCGTAAACTTGGTGGCTTTGCATGCCCCAAATGATCCAAATCTCGAAATATCAAACACTACTTCCATAAAATGAACCCTAACTCATGCATGGATGATTCAAAGCCTCAAAGATGGTAACTTTATGACTCAAGGACCAAATGCACACCAAGATTAGTTCCTCTAAGCTCCAGAAATGACAATAACTCACAAGATCTCTTCTATGGGACCAAAAAGACCCAAAAACTCAAACAAAGAAGATCTAAGCATTAACAAAGCAAGTTTTGAGCTTTATACCTCAAATGAGTGCCAAATGATGAAGATAACCCCGAATCTTCAAGCTCAACTCCAACAACTCTCCTTCACCAACTTCTTCATCTTTCCAAGGCACCAAACCACCGAAAATGCACTCCACAAGGTCAAGAACACACCATGATGGTAAAGGGGTCCATTTTAGGGTTTATGCACAAAATAGGTTCATAAGGAGGCTAACCTATGGGACTTAATGACATTATATAGGGCTTGAACCCTAAAAATTAGGGTTTTTGGTCCTAACCACGTACACTGCGCGTACCTCTTCGTACGCTAAGCTTACGTGCATGCCTCCGCGTTCCTTAATGGACCACTACGGCCCGCGTACACTAGGCTTACGCCCAGCGTACGGACTCAGCAAGCCCATTCAAATGAGGCCCAATACCACTAAGCCCACAAAACTTGCATAATTAAAAAATTAGATAAATGATTAAATAATTAAATAATACCTTGGAACCATCGGGCGTTATGCCATAATCCTCCATATTATGGCTCGATGTCCTTATTACTCAAACCTTAGGTTCATACCTAATGGTTCGAGCAAATCACAAACATCGCCATAATCCTCCATATTATGGCTCGATATTCTTATTAGTCGAACCTTAGGTTCATACTAAATGGTTCGAGCAACTTAAAAACATCGCCATAATCCTCCATATTATGTCTCGATGTCCTTATTACTCGAACCTTAGGTTCATATAAAATTTTTCGAGCAACCTACTAATATCGCCATAATTCTCCATATTATGGCTCGATGTTCTTATTACTCGAAACTTAGGCTCATACCTAATGGTTCGAGCAACATACAAACATCGCCATAATCCTCCATATTATGGATCAATGTTCTTATTACTCGAACCTTAGCATCATACCTGATGGTTCGAGCAACCTACAAACATCGCCATAATCCTCCATATTATGGCTCGATGTTCTCATTACTCGAACCTTAGGCTCATAGCTAATGGTTCGAGCAACTTACAAACATCGCCATAATCCTTCATATTATGGCTCGGTGTTGTTATTACTAGAACCTTAGGTTCATACCTAATGCTTCGAAAAACTTACCCACATTGCCATAATCATCCATATTATGGCTCGATGTCCTTATTACTCACAGCTTAGGTTCATACCTAATGGTTCGAGCAGCTCACAAACATCGCCATAATCCTCCATATTATGGCTCGATGTTCTTATTACTCGAACCTTAGGTTCATACCTAATGGTTCGAGCAACTTACAAACATCGCCATAATCCTCCATATTATGGCTCGATGTTCTTATTACTCGAACCTTAGGTTCATACCTAATGGTTCGAGCAACTTACAAACTTCTCCATAATCGTCCATATATTGCTCGATGTTCTTATTACTCGAACCTTAGGTTCATACCTAATGGTTCGATCAACTTTCAAATATCTCCATAATCCTTCATATTATGGCTCGATGTTCTTATTGGTTATGTATAAGGTTCATAGCTAACCTAATGGTTCGAGCAACTTATAGACATCGCCATAATACTCCAAATTATCGCTCAAGGTTCTTATCACTCGAACCTCAGGTTCAAACCTAATGGCTCGATCCATATACTAAGCATAACATTCGAGTTAGGGGGCGGAGCATTTCAAAGTCTGGTAAACGCTTTAAGTCAATACGAAATTAGATGCCAACCATGGCCGATAGAAGAATAATCGAAACCACAGATTACTCGTACGATTACACGGGCAAAAAGAAAAAGGATTCAAGCAAATAAAAGAAGATCACATTGTCATTTAGCAAAATGTCATTACAAGATAACAAAAAAAACCTACCCAACAGCATTGGCAAAATAAAAGCTATGTTTAAAACTTCAAAAGTCCAAATCACTAAGAAAACAAACACAATCTCCAACCCCTAGCCCAATCCAACTTCATCTGCTCCTGATAAATCCACAACCTTCAACAACTTCCTCAAACCACATACAACCATCTCCTCGTTCTCAAGAGAATATACTAGCGAGTACTTGTATGTTGTCATCTCAGCAAAACGTTCAATAATTTGATGTTGTGCATCTGGGTACAAATACAATACATTCTTACCTTCCAGCTCTTCCAGATACTTTTCTTTAATGTCCACACAGGCTTGATGGAGGCCAAGCTGGATAGCGGATGTCTGCAAGGTGGCATTCACGACATCAAAGTCGCTTGAATCCAACAAAGTTCGAACAAATATGGGGATACCTTCCTTTACTACCCATTGCAGCTCCTCAGCCTTTTGATCCGCTCCCGTCTAGCAACTTGTTGTATTCTGCTCCATCAAAAGTTGTGAGTCGCTAAAAGTGGCAATTCAAGCATCCTTCTCCAACATCAGGAGTTTCGTTGCGGCTAGCTCCTCCTCTAACAACTTAATACTAACATCCTTGCCAGAACAGGCGATTTCCAACTGAGAAACCTTCTTCGTATATTGCGACTTCGGCGAATGGTACTACTGAGAAACACCCTCGAGTTCCTTGACGGCAAATGTGCGGTGGCTCATGACATCATCTGGTTTCAGTTGCAAATCTTGATTCAACTTTTTCAATTCCTCCTGCTGACCAATGGCTTGACTCAAATCTGTCACCAAGTTTTGGTTTCTCTCCGACAAACTGGATACCTCTTCCCTCAACCCCTTAGCTTCTTTTTTTGTTTGCTCGTGAAGGTTCCGAAGTTGATTCAAACCTTCCAAGGCTTCATCGAAAATGTCTTGATGCTAAGCAAGTTGCTCTGAACGTGACTTTGTGCATACGGGAACTTTGTTCAAGAAGTGTATTCCTTCCATCAAGCATTATCGAGTCTTATATAATGCTTCTTCATCAAACACAACCCCCGTTTGAAAAGGGATCTTGGGAACACTTGGCACAGCAAAAGGACGTTGGAACTGGGGAAGTGAAACAGCAAGAGTAATCAGTGTTGGCATTGTGGCCTCCTTTCCTGTAATAACAATAGTTGCACAGTCAATAAGCAAGTGAATCGCAAAAATTATCTAAAGAACATAAAAAAAGAGGAAGAAGAAAGCAAACATTGACAAAGGAAGAAAAGGAACATACGGCCTGACGCAGGGGGAGGATTCATGATACTAGCTTCCATGTCTACAGATTCGACCCCCACAGACTCTTCATTCCCTGTCACGGTATCAGAGGGAATGGGAATAGGAATAACCACCGAAGAGTCGGTGGTCGATGCCATGAAACGACCAAGTTTGGACCCAAATAGATTTTGTTGGAACACAACCGCAGCAGACAGACCCTTGGGGTCTTCCTTCTCCGAAAGGGGGTTTTCAGGGATCTTCTACGGGAGGCCTACAGTAATGGTCTCCGACTCTGATTTGCCCAAATGAGACACCTCTGTCTCATCCTCCACACTCTTCATTCCGCTTTCCGGTTCAGTTGGAAATTCGTGAAAAACAATAGTAACAAGATCCTCCGAGGTACGCTCAGAGCTTGTAGCATAGGAGTCGGAGGATCAGATAGATCATTTAGGCTTCAGCTTCTTGATTCACGACCAAAACGTTTCCGTTTGGTAGGATACATTTTTATGAGTTGATCGTCTAGAGCACTCTCATAGCGCTTCTCTAAGATGAACCCTTTTGAGGTAGCCCTTGTAAACACCATAGGAGGCTTTCCAAAATCAAAATCCAATTTCGCACCCTTCGAGCGAAGATTAGGAGGAATAGCTCTAGAGCCCTCTGATTGAGAAACGTCTAGGGTAGAGTCCATGCTAGACTCTGAACTAGTCGGGGAATCGGACGCCATCACCTCATCCGTCACTTGGGTGGAGTTTGCAATTCATTTATGATGAATTCAGTCAAGAAGGGTTATGTTTTTCCCCTCGAACACCTCCATTGGCTTCTTAACCAAACAGTTCTAATGGGGACTCATGCCAGCCATACCCAACATCGCTTCGTCGGGGTCCGCCCATCGGACAAAAATTCCGATAAGCTCTCCGTTATCAATTGCTTGTCGGGCGATAGTTCTGGGATGGGGTCAGCGACCCTGTCAGCGGTAGCACCGTATGCCATAGGGCGGGAGAAAGCAGAGGCATGAATAAAAAAGAACTCCTCCTTCCAATACTTTATGGAGGTTGGAAGACCGTCAAAAATCTCTACCAAACCATGGCAAACGGAGAAAGAAACCTAATCTTTGTTGGACATCGGAATATAGGAATTACGAAATAGATTGATGGCCGACGACACATCCAGAGCGAGCATAGCAGGCTGAAGCAAAGAATCTTGCGAAAGCCGTTATGGGTTATTTAGGCGATGTGCAGACCATAATAATCCAGAACAGTTTCTAGAAAATCAAAAGCAGGAAGACGCAGCCCGGATTAAAAGAATACTCGGTAAACCCCCACGAAGCCTTCAGGGGCATTGGTAATGGCATCGTTGGCCTCCGGAAGACGAGGATGGAACTTCGGATCAATATTATACTTCCGAACGAGCATACCCATGGTCCGAACGGTCAACTTGTATTTCACCATCCCAATGTGAGAAATCCCAGTGCTCGCCTTATTCAGAAAAGAAGAAGGAGATGAGAGAAAAAGTAGACAGAAGAAGGAAACTGACTCTAACTAAAATATCGAATGGTGAAACGGATGATTGAATACCAAATATTTATAGTAAGTCTAGAACGTATGAAGATTAACAGGCAGACAATGTGGTTGGTGGATACTTTACCCTATTAAAGAAAAGGCAGGTGAAAAGACGGTTATAGGGATTATCATTAGGACTAGCATAACCGTCAACACGTCATGTCGGAGTTAATTCAGGACTATCGTCCCTATCCGATTATAATGGCTATATTTTCGTTTCTTCCAAAGTTTGCATCCCTACTCCACCGATTACGTCGAGATACAAATTGGGGGGGGGGGGGGTAAATAGGATATAGCCCAGAAATACCTATATCCTTCCCAAATATACCGAACCAGCATGTTGCAAGGTCGCTCGAAGTTACCCACCGTACATGTCTCAAAGTTGCCCGTTTACATACCGAACTGGCATGACAACTCGAAAGGAAAGGAAAGAACGAAGAGAAAGTACAAAGTGACATTGAAATAGTAGCAGCAGTACCTCGAAACTATGAGAATACTGCCGGCACGAGGATATGTGGCTGGTGGATCCTGTCACAGCCACATGACAGCTGTGTAACGGCATACACAGTACCGATAGTCGTACCTTCGAGCATAATGCCATAAATACGGTAAGATGGCATGTCGGGGTCAATATGGGAAGAAATCGCTACTTCTTCCTGTATCACTATAAATAGATAGCCCGATTCTTCAAAAAGGTAAGAACACAGAAGTCTCGCTTATCTCTCTCGTGTAATCGATCGATAACGTAGCCTTTCGCTAACTTAACCGTCGGAGCGTCGTCCGGGACCCCCTCCCGGCCGGCTAGCTTATGGTTTGTTTGTATTTTTTAGGTCAATCTATCAACCTGGGAAGAACCAGCCCAAGAGTGAAAGATGGAAGACGGACCTAACGGTACATAATTTAACAACAATGTTTTTTATTAACATGTGAGGGCACATATTGTATTAATGTTTTATGTATAGTAAATAATAACATATAATAAATTCAAGCTTTTAAATTTATAATATTTTTTTTCTAATTTAATTCTCTTATTAAATAAAGCTCAAGATATACATTCAAATTTTAATTCAAGTTTCAATAATATTCAAATTTAATTAACTAATATTCAATTTTAATTATAATTAAATAATATTCCAAATTAATAACTAAATTCGAATATTCAAATTTAAGAATTAAGATAATGACATAAAATAGAGGCATATCCCTAGATTTTCGAAATCAGTCAAAATCCTGAAATCCGGATAGGCGCACCGCGCTTTACAAAAACGCATCGCGCCCACCGATTATAGGTTTCTTTTATTCTTTTCATTTTTTCACAAAGTTTTGTACCTTAACTAACACAATTAGGATATGCTACCACTATTAGGGATGGTTAGCATCAACTATATATTACATAGGTAGCGGCAAAATCAAAACTAGATATAATTAAGTGCATATGCAACCTAAGATCTATGTTTTACTATTATATCATCCTACTTTGAAAAACGACATAGAAAGCGATTACTAACCTCTTGTTGACTCCTTTGTGATCTCGTACGTTCCAGATTGCAAGATGAAGGATCCAAAAGAGAATCCCTATAATAGAATCAGACCCATACACCAAATAGCAAAAGGAAGAATCTACAAATTAGGGTTTGTTCGAAAATCACCAACCCTATGAGAGATGTTGTGATTTTCATCCGAGGATATATATATATATATATATATATATATATATATATATATATATATATATATATATATATATATATATATATTCCAGAAGAATACAAAACCTAGGGTTTATTTTAATCTAAAATAAACCTGCCATATCCCTATCCAAGGGATCAAGAAATCATTCGTAGTCTCGCTCTACGAGGTTCTTGAATATTCCTATTAAATCTTATGATTATTTAATATTCAAACTCTTTGATTAATTAAATCCTTTTAATTAATTTAACAAAATAATTTATAGTTAATTTATTAAATCCTTAATAAATCAACACATTATTAACCTCCAATTTTATGTCATTTGGGTCATGAGGCCAATCCAAAAGGATCCTACTATTAGATGAAATATTACCAAATACGTTAATGACCTTGGACACCATTTCCAAATATATATATATATATATATATATATATATATATATATATATATATATATATATATATATATATATATATATATCAAGGTAAATAATGGGTTGACCGATATTACGCTTCTGTGGCACGTTACATCAAATTCAACTTGTGAAATGGCATCAAATTAACATTTAAGAGGGATAAATTGAAGCAACAGATGCATCTGCTTCTTCTTATTCTTCCTCACCCAACATTTGAATGTGCGACTAGGGCAAAAGGGAAAATTAACGACGTGTTGTTCTTCAACCAGCAATATTAAAAGGTGCTATTATGGTGATCTGACTTGAATGTGAACATCATGGATTCGAAAGAATCCAAGTCGTAGGTTCCATGGTTACCCTAGTTACATGGTATATATTTTTTAATTTCACTCAGATTCTGTAATTTCACACTTATAAAAACTAGCTATAAGGAGACCCTACGACACCCTATTTTCCATCATTTTTTGATTACTTTAAAATATACATACATCCTGTGAACATATGTGGTATGATATGGGTTGATAGTGACACCCACTTTTATAGTGCTACTTGGATTTAGCCTTAGTAACTAAAGAAAATGATCCCAAACCCTTGCATAGTGGTCTGTGAGTTTACCATCCTTAATTCTCATTGCCCTACAACTTGTTCTGTAAGCCTTAGACAACGACACTCCACAATGAAACTTGGTTTAAGTATTTTATTGCATGTCTTTAAATTTCAAGTTAAGTTTCTTCATCACTCCCTCAAAAAGTGTCTTGTTAGCCAACTAGGGGACATCAAATGTGAAATGTTGAAATTTCTAAACATTTGTGATCGACGATTAAGGATTTAACAATGTCACACTTAATAAATATAATAGTATACCCAATACAAATAACACAATTACTCACACATTGTTTTAACTAATGTGGTCCTTCATACCTTTCACTAAGAAGGAGCTTCATCTTATTCCAATTAACTGATGGATTGTGAATATGGAAGTTTACACCACCAATATCTCCTAAATCAAGGTCTTTTGCGCCTGCTATGTCATCAATTTCCTCTCCTGACCAAAATCCTTCTTCATCATCACTAAAAGTGTTATTGTTATCATCAACATTGAATTTATTGTCTTTATAACTAGAATTAAAGTTGAAGAAAACATCCTTGCATCTCTCTTTACCTTGTGCCTTGAAATCAACTTCCAATTCTACATTTATGAGCTTAGTGTCGGGCACTACATCCTCGCATTTTTCGTAGTCGTATTCTTTAGAATCATGGTTACTTTCATCTTATTTAACATCCATGAACACCAAATGACCTTATATACATCTGCTTCTTTCTTTGTTTCTCTCTACAAATCCTTATCTGCAATTAAATCACTAAATTTATGAAGTGGAAGGGTGTTGTCACACCCCCGACCGAGGCAGCAGAACATGTCGGGCTATGCGACTTAGTTCATGGATCACAGGTAAACTAAATATATAGAACAAGTATAACAATGAACAACCCAACATTTGTATTCCATCTTGATGTTTGAATACAAGGTTCTTACAGATAATAGTATAGTACATAAATTGCCTTAAATAGGTAGGCATACATAACAAAAACTAGTAAACTAGGTTGCCTGAAATCCGTAATTAATCCGTCGTCTAAATTGCTTGATTACTGATTCCATGAGAATACATGTACTTTTGAGGGTCAACACAAGGTTGGTGAGAGTTATAATTTTTCTGCTAACAGCAGTAATACTTTTAAAATGTCTACAAAATATTTTCATTGTAAGTAAAACCATACTTAAACTGTGTCGTAAAGAGTCTTTGAATAACCATTGAAAACTAAAAGATGTCTATGGATAAGTAAATCCATACTTAAAATTGTGTTTGTAAAGAGTCTTTGAGTAACCATTGAAAACCAAAAGATGTCTTCGCATAAGTAAATCCATACTTAAAACTGTTTTGAGAGAAACCAAATCCAAGGTTTTGTAGTGAGATAGAGATTCTAGTTAATGTTTATAGTGAGTCCTATAACCGAGCTATAAGACTGAATGTACCCCCTACAACGCTTCATTGTACGTTGTA